ATCTATCTATCTATCTATCTATCTATCTATCTATCTATCTATCTATCTCTCTCTCTATCTATCTGTCTATGTATTTATCTATCTGTCTATCTAAGCATGAATGTATCTATCTTTTGAGGACAGGGAATCATCAGAAACAGATGGATGGGAAGAGAGGATTAAGGAGGATGCCATAATGGGTTAGCATGGAGAAAAAAAACCACATGGGCCAGGATAAAGGACTCCAACAATGGCATGGAAAGGCTCAAATGAAGAACAAGAGCAAGTACCATGGGATGATGTATGGAAGGTAGACCAGATGAGGAGGATTAAGGCGGATAGCATTGGATGGGGGCTGGGAGATGGATGGTGAGGTTATTGAGACAGTGTAGGTGAAATATCTTCCCAGCCCAAGGTAAATAAGGCAATTATAAATCTAACAGGTTTCTGTGTCTTATTACTTGTGGTAGCTAGTTAAATAATATCACATGATAATCATAGGGCAAATAATAAATAACATTATATGGGCCAAAAGACTCATTTTAAAATTTACAACAACATTGAAGCTTGTGGGCTTCATAAGCTCTACCAAGTACAAAGGTCTTTAGGGTACAATTCTGCATCTCGCATGGTCCAGCAACCCTGTGAGCTAGGACATTGTTTTTCTTATGGACAAAGCAATGTCGACACTGGACTGGAATGTAGGTCTTTGAAATATAGTAGCTTGTCTTTACCACAACATCCTGGAAATAGGAAATGTTTATCTGCCAATAAATGACACAATGCATGTAAGAGCCCTTAAAGAGTCCTTGGCATATTAATACATGACAAAGAATGTTGGCTGACATTCTTATTTTAACACTAAGGGTGATTTTAGAAGATGAGATGTACTTAATGTTTTGGAGTCACAGTTCTGTATTAAATCATGAGCTTATATCAAATCTTGATGTTTTGAGGGTTTTCAGAAAAAAACCTCTGTGGGTTAACACCTGCATTCTAGCAAGCTCATGCCTTGCTGGCTGAGGTGGAGATTGAGAGGAATGCCAGCTCTCGAAGACCAGGTTCAGTGTAGCTGAGGCAGGTGTCTGTGACTGCTCGTGCCTCGTTTTCACAGATGGCCATAGGACTGTTGTGTGCAGGAAAGCGAGCTTACACACTCAGACTGCTTAAAACAGTGCTTGGCATGTGAACGGCACTAGACCCATTCTCTCTCATCAGGTTTCTCAACAATTTTTCTTTGCATAATGCAGCTCCGGACAGTGAAATGTTCTGCTGTCCACATCCTGCCGTCTTCTGGCACAGGTCTGCAGGTATTACCTGTTTCAAGCTAAAACTGTGCCTGTGGTTCAATATAATATCTGCCTCTGAAGGTTACAGACAACAGAGACAGATGTTGGTTCTTAGCCAAAGGTGACTTTTACCCATCAGGGGTTAGTGTGTTTTGTTTTTTTTTTAATGTCTCTCGTTCCTCTTCCTCCTGGCTTCAGGGATTGAATGTAAGTCAGCTCATGTTAGGCAAATACTCCACCATTCAGTAACATCCCCAGTACTCTCTTCATTTTAAGACAGGGTCTCCTTTAGTTACTAGTCTGGCCTTGAATTCAGTCTGTTGTCCAGGCTTCAAGCTTGTGATCCTCTTGCCTAGGCCTCTGGAGCAGCTGGGATTCCAGGCTTGTGCTAACCAGGCCTGGCTACAGATGCTTTCGATCTTTATTATTGAGGGCAGGGGCTTGCTGCTGGCTTCTAGGGTTAGAGCCCAGAGGTGCCGTGACTACTGTAAACATACAGGCAATCTTAGTTCCAATTGTCCAACGCTAAATGTCCGCGGTGCTTCTAAGAAACCCCTGTGCTCATGAGCGGAGCTAATTAACCGGTAAGTGGTGGGTGACACTAGGGTCTGCTGCCGACAGCTGTCACCATGCGGTGGGTCTCGAACATAGACCTAGGATAGCCCTTCTTTCCATGCAGCCAAAGAAGTATAAGGAGAGGCCTACAACTTAACATCGCTAGGTTTGTGCCCTCACCAGACCAAAGCCTGTTGTACTATATACTAATACTATTTTAAAAGCAGTAATAACGCTCCTTCATAGTCTTGATTTTAAAGGCACTAATTCCAGGAATTTTAACATTTAAACTAAAGAGCGTTACAAATTTTTACTACTATTTTTTTTTTGGCAGATTTTCACTTTTAAACGTGTCCCCAGATAGGCAATTGTCTTCGATTTTGAAAAATGGAACAGACCTCTGAGTTTCAGTAAATTTTAATAACCAATACTGATAAGACTAATGATGATAGCCACAAACTGCTCTGCTCCATGTACCTTTCATGCTCTTTTCTCCAACTCTAGAAACAGAAACTCTTCTTCACATTTTATAAGTGAGGAAATTGAGGCACAGAACAATGGAAGAAGTTGCTTAGGCCACACAGCTATTAGACAACGGGGTCAGGCAAAGTGTATCCTCTTATTTGGAAGCTAAAATATTTTAGGTGGCCTGTTTGTCTCCACAATTACTTCCATCAACTTGAGCCAGGCAGCCTCTGTACTTTTGCTGCTGGCTGGGGCGTGGCGCTCCTAAAAGACAGGTGCCTGAGGGCGGAACTTTGCTGCTGTGCACACTGCAGGGCACAACGGAGAGCTTGCTGCGCGCCTATTGGCCAGGAGCGGGTGGACGAGCACAGTTTAGAGCACACCCCTAGGAAGCCACGCTCCTATTGGCTTACGGCGTAGATGGGCGGGGCGCAGCAGAAAAAGCGTGCTGTAGCTGCTGAGCGCCTACTGGCTCACGGGAGGAAGGCGTGGTTTAATGCAGCTCGGCCTTAGGGCGGGGCACAGTCGAGCTCACGCGCTCCAGCTCCCACGCTCTTATTGGTCGAAGCGGAGGGCGTGGCTATGAGAGGTCTCTGTCTCCACCCCGGGGCAGAGCCTCGGGGGCGGGGCACAGGTAGGGGGCGGGCGTTCTGGCCAGCCTTCTTGAGTTCCGCGTTGGTTTAGCGGAGAGCAAAGGAGGGCGTTCGGGTTTCGCGTTCAGCACGGCGGGAGCCTGTCAGGAGCAGGATGGCGGCTTCGGGCGAGGCGCGCCGGGTGCTGGTGTACGGCGGCAGGGGCGCTCTGGGCTCGTGCTGCGTACAGGCCTTCCGGGCGCGCAACTGGGTAATGCTGCGGGACAGCCGCTGCCAGCGGCAGGCTCTTGGCTTGGATGGTTCGGGTGGGGGTGCGGGGATCGGGGACTGCCGGCCCTGTGCACCCGAGACTAGGCAACACGCGTTTGCACCAGTCTCCTCTGGGCCGCAGGTGCCCGGCCTTTGCCCTGAATGGAGTGTGAGGTGTAAGTACTCCCTAGGGCTCCTCCAGGCCCAGAAGGTCCGGCGTGACTCGGGAGGGAAGAGGAGCGGTGTGAGAGAATTGGGAGAGGAAAAGGCAGAAGACTGGGAGACTCTCCACTAAGTTACTAGCCTAGTGACCTTGAATTGATTACCTAATGCCCGCTAGCCTCAGTTCCTTCAAAAATAAAACGACAATAATGTTCCTATTTACTTTTGGGCCAGTCGTGATAAGTGAGATAATAGGTAAAAGCCGTTTAAATGCCAACTGTTACCGACACGTTAGCTAATTATTACCCTTGTTGCTTTAGCCCTGTTGGAACTGGCAGTCGAAGGCTCAGCCCAACAGCTGCTGACATCTTTACTTAGTACACGGTATTTCAAATACTGTGCCTAGTCAGCTCTCTAGGAGGGTGGCAAATGGGTGCATAGCTGATCTTGGCCCCTGCCTTTTAGTAGGAATCAGCATGGCTCAGCATTGGAGACTTCTAGAGTCAGCCCTGGGGTTTAATGCACCTTCCTGTGAATTTAGGTAGCAAGGGATCCCCTGAGACCACAGGGACAGACACAGGATTTTGTTTTGACTTAAGCGTGGTAGAAGAATAATTCCACTACCTGTTAGAACATTGGAAGACCGGGATGTCTTCTACAATCTGCAAAGATGGAGAGTGGAGACAAAAGCAGCAATGAAGGCATGAGGTGTGTCTGCCTCTACTGGGCCCTGTACTCGTACACATCAGCTCTCCCTGACTCTAACTTCATTGGGCCTCCTGTGCCGGTTGTCTTTTATTGTCACATTGGCAACCTAGAGGTACTCTGGAAGAGGCAGCATCGATTGATGAATTGCTCAGATCAATCTGCCTGTGGCCATGTCTGTGAGAGTTAGACTTGGTGGATGGTTGATGTGGGAGGACTTGGCCAATTATGGGTGGCACTATGCCTAGGAGGCAGCTGAGCATGAACCAGGTGCCATCCAGTTAAACATTGTTCTTCTTTGGCTTCTGCATTGAGTCTGATGTGCTAATTTACCCCTAATTCTGTTTCCCTTTCTTTCCCCGATCCCTGGACAGGGTTGGGGCGCAGCTGACTTTGTCTCAGTGTTATTCCCCATGGTTTGTGGTACACAAGTAATGAGTGTTGAATGATGCTGTAATTGCCCTAAAGGTAGATACTGACATCTTGGCTTTTCAGTCTGAAGGACCTGGAGGTTTCTGAAGAAAAGTTCAGTGATGGCAGGAGTGAACATCCTCCATCTCATTTTGTTCTTACTAACCCTGTTAATTATTCACCTGCTTTCTACGGTGAGGGAGACTGCCACTTTGTGGCAGAGGCAGCATTAATTCCTGAACTGGACATCCACACTGCATGCCCAGCTGTCTCTGCTGCAGAGCAGGGGTCTTCAATAGGACAACTGGATTTCCATGCGTCTCTGTGAATTACGAAGAGTTTTACATTTTGAGATGGTTCTATACAGTGAAAAGAATAACGTGTAACATGCATAGTTTACATTTCAGCATCTGCCATTTTCTGGATGACTCATTCTTTCCCTTCCAACTCCGTGTTGTTTGTAGCTGTGCTAGCTACTGTGCTAGCAGGTTTAAGGATTTGTGGCAGAGATCACAGAGTGACCTCCGGTGTCTCTAGCTTCATGTAGGGTTTGTTTTGAGAGTGCAGCAGAGAAGGGACTGTGTTCGGAGCACTCTGAGCTGTGATGAAGTGTGATGGAAGGTGGACCAACTGCAGGCAGTCCCTGAAGTTTGTCTGGGAGATCAGTTGTTATTTCCTTTCTCTGGTGGGTTTTTGTTTACATGTTAAGTACCCAAAAAATCTGAAATGCTTCTAAATCTTAAGCTTTTAAAGGGCTGTATATATTATGCCCCAGATGGGAAGTTTAATGCTATGAAACCTGTTAGTGTTCAAGGCTATTAAAAGTACTGTGTAAAATTACTTTTAGACTGTGAGTAAACAATGTATATAAAACATGTCAAGTTTGTGTTTAGACTTTAGTCCCATCCCCAAGGTGAGTATGTGCAATTATTTGAGATTGAACCCCAAGTTGCAAACTGGAAACATTTCTGGTCCCATGTATTTCAGTTTGAGCCTGGTCACTTTCTCGATGCTCCCATTTCTGGGTGTGGCTCTTTAGAGAACTAACAGCTCACTGACTCTTCCCAAAATTGTTTTTTTTTGCTTCAGTGGGTCGCCAGCATCGACGTGGTGGAGAACGAAGAGGCCAGTGCCAGTGTCATTGTTAAAATGTCAGACTCATTTACAGAGCAGGCTGACCAGGTAACTCTAAAAGAGCCCTCGTGGTGACAGGAGAGGCCCGGGGGGGGGGGGGTTGCCCTGGCTGTGCTCTTTGTCTGCCAATTCTGAAATCCTCTAGAGGAAAACTTAGAAAAGGTGAAAAACAAAAGTAAAAACAAAGCTGAATTCGAGGATTCAGTTCTTACTGGCTTATTATGCCAAGTTTCCTTGTCTTTAGTATGCATGCTGTGTATTACTGCTTTTGCATGTCTTATGTTTTATATTTGTTGTTGTTGTTTTTAAAAAATGTTCTTTAAGTACTTTGTCTCACTTAAACACTTTGCTGATCTATAATATTTTATTTTGTTGGTTGGCTGTGGCTTTCTTAGTTTCTCTATTGTATACTTGAGGGTTTTTTTTTCTTAAATTAATTTTTTTCCTTTACTATTTAACAAGAACAGAGTGGCTAAGCATCTTTGTAGGTCTGATATATTTTGAAAAGTGAAGTTACCCTGGTTCAATGCATAAATACTAACAGGACATATTATTTTCAGTTATGAAATTATGTGCAAATTGTAAAACAGGAAAAATAATAAAACTCTAGAAATAATAAATAAATGGTAAGATCACCTTTCCTCCAAGAGACTGCTACATCTCAGAAGGAATGCCATTGCCAATTTGATGGTTGTCTTAGATGTTCTTTAGTAGTCCTGCCTCTGGAGCAGCCCTTCTGACATGCTGCCTGTAAGACTCAGGCCAGTGCTCCCACCCTCGTTCCCAAGGAAGTAACCACTCCCTTCTCTGTTTTCAGAACTACTGGATGGGCAAGCAAGTGGGTCATTTCATAGTGGGTTTCACTAGGTTTTATCCAGTAAGTGACAGTCTGAGAAGGTAGTTAGTGCTATAGATAGGACAAGAGTTTCCTGACACAAACTCAGTCTGTAAGTAGGTCTGCTTTGTTGTAGACCCACCTTCTCTGGTGGTCTCAGCACTGGCTGAGGTTTCATGTTCCTTGACCATTTTAAACCCCAAATGTGGGAAAGATGCGCAGGAAGATCTCAGTCTTTGCCCAAAGTCACGCAGATAGGAGGGTGACACGCTGAGGTTTGAGCCTGGGCAGTGGACTTTATGGTTGTGCTCTTACCTAATGAGCCAAACTGCCTGAAAGCAAAATAGCACCCTGTGGGAAAAGCAATAAAAGCTAAACTCATGAGAAGAGCAATGCCTGGTCTTGGGGAGCCATAGTCCTTCCAGGTGTGGTTTCTGCTTTCAGTGTCTTCTCAGTTCTTATTTAATATAAGTTCTGTTGTCAACGTGGGCTTATCTACTTATTATCATTATTGCTATTGTCGTCATCAGAGCGAGGGAAGAAAAGGAGGTAAATGGCTGACTGAATGAATGAGAATGTTAATGTAGGCGCACAGCCGTAATTGATGTATGGCGACCAGAAGGTAACTTTTGGTAGTCAGTTCTTGCCTTCTACCACTGTATACAGGGGTCTAACTCAGCTAACAGGAAGCACTTTTATTTGCTAAACCATTGTGTTAGCCACTATATAGGTTTTTGAATGTCAAATTATCCACACTTGAGACTTGCTGATCGAATGTATCAGCAGGGCAAAATGCCTTATTATAATCTTAGCTTTTCAAATCTCTACTTCCTTTCATCCATTGTGAATTTCTGGGCCAACTACATGATACTTGATTTTGAATTTCAAGGCACCAGATAAGGAAATTTAATCCTAACACATGGGAAATTGGTCTCCTGGTCAAGAAATTCATCTAGGGACAAGAGATGCAGAAGCGAGAAGAGAATTGAATCTCTAGAAGACTCTTGGGCAAAAAGCAAGATATAAGAGGCTAGAATGTGGAATTGCCTTACCTTATTGAAAGAATGAAGCAGGTGTTAAAGAGCCAGAGAGTTTATAGTTGCAGTGCTTCTAGAAGAGTAGGTCAGGTGGCATGGGTTCTGTGCCCATCCAGATGGTGCAAGCTCAAGCAGTCAGGGTCTAGGTTCTTGCTAAAGAGACTTGGCTTCTGAAAGAAGGGAGGGGCCTCTAGGATTGTCCAGGGCCACGGGAAGGTCAACAAATAATGTGCCAGATTAAGTAAAAGGCACAGGATTCTAGACTCTGCGTAAAAGGGAAGCACTAGGTATGGAGTGCAGGAAAAGCTTGATTTTCACTGGCCAAGCATTCCCTTTGAAGGAACAACTTGAGTCTTCAGAAAAGCAGGAATGGTTCAGTGGAAGTGTCGCTGGAGAGACATTGGGTCTTGAGAGTTTTCCAAAGATGGAGCATATTGAACACCTTAGAGGCACTACTGCAGACATTGCAGCGAATAAGAGCCACAGTGGCTGGCCGGCCAGTATGGCCTGCCTGTCAGATTGCCCTTTAACACATATAATGAGAGTGAGTGGATACGTTGTACTTGTACTCAGCACAAAAGCACAAACTAGCATTTTGCTGTTGCCTTTTTTTTTTTTTTTTTTTGCTCTTGTGTTTCTTAATAATATTTCTTTGTTGTGTTGAAGTGGTTTTTGTTTTGGGTGGGGTAGGGTGAGTGGAATGGACCTTTCTCAGATCATGAGTCTATGATTCCTGAGGAAAATCTGGAAAGGCACATACCAGAACTTTACCTGTTTGTCACGAGGTTTAGCAGGGAGTCATATGGAGGAAGAGAGGGGTGGGATTAGAGGGAGAGGAGCCCCACAGGAAACCAACAAAACTAAAAGATCTGAGCCCAGAGAGTCCTGCAGAGACTGATGTACCAACGGAGGACCATGCATGGAGAGGACCTAGACTCCCTGCTCAGAGATGGCTGATTGGAAACTCAGTCTCCATGTAGATTTCTGAGTTAGGGGATCAGGGGCTGTCTCTAGCATAACTCAGTTGACTGTTCTCTGATCATTAGCCCCTGATGATGCAGCGTTGCTAGGCCATGGAGGAAGAGGATCCAGGCAGTCCTGATGAGACTTAACAAGCTATGGACAGATGGCAATAGTGGAGAACTCCCCCTTTCAGTGGACTAGGGGAAGAGGGAGGGAGGGTGGAACTGGGTGAGTTGAGGGAGGGGCTTTCAATTGGGATATTTAATGAATAAATTGTGAAGAAAAATTTTAAAAATTAAAAACCTTTTTTTCTCTTTATTATTTGATTCCAGGAAGTGTTTATGTCCCTGCTTTTTACAATGTTTATGCAGTGGCAGTATTTTATGAAAGTCATATTGAAGGTTGTTGGCTTTACTATCCAAAATGTGCAGACCTTCTTCAATCTAATTTCCTGAGCCAATTGCTAGGTTTATAAACTGGCTGAAAAAGAATAGAAAGAGAAAACAAAAATCCGTTTCAGCTCACCTTCCAGTTTGTGCATCTTTGTGGCTCTTTTGTTTAAGGTCACTGCTGAGGTTGGAAAACTCCTAGGTGACCAGAAGGTGGACGCAATTCTCTGTGTGGCTGGAGGATGGGCTGGGGGCAATGCCAAATCCAAGTGTGAGTCCTTTTCCAAGTTAATTATTGCTTCTGCTCTACTCTTTGTCTAGCTGTCATGGCTCTGGTATAGCTGAAGCCGCAGGCCCGCTGGTTTTCTGTTTGTCTCTTAGGATCCTTCCCACAGCCCTGCCTCTTCCTTTGATTTGTGATGATAGGAGTGGGTAATTTGTAGGGATTGAACTACTCACAGTTCTACAGGCTGGGAAGTTCAGAGGCCATGAACTTGGTGTTTAGTGAGGGTGTTCTTCCAGCATTACACCATGGCGGAAGGTGGGAGGTCAAGATAGCCTGAGAGCTAGGGTTGGGGAGACTGACAGTGTGACACGTGTAACCACCTGTGCCTTCCGAGTCTCTGGAGTCTCTGGCAGGGCTAGAGGGCTAACACAGCTGTGAAACAGTTGCTGTTTCAGCCCTCTTTTACAGATTTTTAAAGGCTCTCATTAACTTTATCCATGAAAATGTAACTGTAAAAACTCTCTTTATGGCTGTAGGCTGATTGTTTCATGGATTTTTATTGTGAGTAAATGCCAGAATAGGGATAGGAATTCCTATTATGAATCCAATGGCCTTCCTCAAGTAAAATCATTTTGAAACCGTGACAGTCTGGTGAGTCTGCTGACCCCAGATTCATTTGCTAAAATTTATTGGCTGCAAATTTGGCAGTTAGCAGGCGAGAAAGCCAAGACTCTGGAGACCTGTGCCCTGTATTGAATTTGTGCCTCTGACCATTGAGCCCTGTGCTGCTCTTATTAGACCCCGGTAGACTGTCAGGGCCTGGAGGGCTCCCTGTAGTACAGGCCAGTGTGAGTGTCTTCTCTGGAAATGATGAGCCCACATTTTTTTGTCCTTTTCCCCAGCACTCTTTAAAAACTGTGACCTGATGTGGAAGCAAAGTATATGGACATCCACCATCTCCAGCCACTTGGCCACAAAGCACCTGAAGGAAGGAGGTCTCCTGACCCTGGCTGGAGCCAAAGCTGCCTTGGATGGGACTCCTGGTAAGCCTTCATTTTTCCACATGTGCAGTGTGATTCTCCTGCTGTAGCTATTGGATACATCTTGTGTTGAGGAGGTGCAGATCCCTTAGGACCCTAAGGGGCCTTCCCATTGGGTGGATTGACTGTAGTCTTAATCTTATCCCCGGGAAGGATCCTGGCAGATGGATTCTTGACCCTGATTCTCTGACCAAATTTCTGCCACAGTTTCTTTAATTGTAAAGCAGTGACAATATGACCTAACTTAAGAGCAACCACAGAGTTGTTGAGACATAGATAGTGTCTACAACACAGCAGGCCTTACTATATCCACACCAAATATCAAGTATGATTATATATACTTTCCACTTCACACATTTTGTTGAATCCTGGTGTAGGCATCATTGTTACCTTTTCAGTTTGTTGCTTAGGAAAACAAAATTTAGAGAGTTAAATAAATTGCCTACATTTATTTACTATGTAGTTAATATATTTTGAATCAAACCCCTGATCATTTCTAAATTGTGCGCTATTTTCATTCTACCACGAAGACCCTTTCTTTTGCATTTCTTATTCCCTGTATTTGTTTGCTGGGGCTCCATGCCTTGGCTTGCTCAACCAACAGACACGTTTCCTAACAATTCAGGAGGTGAGATATCCAAGACCAGGATGTTGGTAGGTAGGTTTTGAGGCCTTACTCACTGGCTTGCATCCTGAATGATCATCCCATTATTTGTCTGGGTTCTAGTTCTACTCCTTAGAAGCACTTGGTCATTCCAGATGAGGGCTGCACCCTAGTGACCTCACTTTAACTTTAACTTAATTACCACTGTAAAGACCCTGTCTCTAAGTACAGTAACTTTCTAAATTAGAGGGGGTTAGGACAGCATACAAAGTTGGGTGACAGGGTACATTTTAACTCATACATTTAAGTCATTCATTTAGGGCCAAGGCTAAAGGGCTTTAAGTAGGGGACAGAAAGGGGTGGGCAGTAAGTCTCATCTGTACTACCTGGGTTTAAAGTGTATAGTTTTAAAAATCTAAGTGGTAGAGAATTGGGGCACCTTCTCAGTTTTAATGTAACTCACTGAACCACGAGTCTCTTGCTAATTAGTAATTTCTTGCTGCTCATTGCATTTCACAGCGCATAAGAGCTAGCAGGTCTATGGCTTTTGCAGTAATTAAAGCTGTGTAAATGTTAGATGTCTGTCTGGTTGAAAGCTGGTTTTTATTAAAGGTGACATAGGGCAGAAGCACCAGAAAGTAAATAAAGAAATGAGTAATAGATTGACATTTAAAAAACAAAAGCCCAGGACTGAAAGACTAATTTTTCTAAAGGACAAAGCAGGCTCCCGTTTCCTTTGGTTTATAAGTACAGATGGTTCCACATTATAGTTCATCTTAATGATCCTTCTGCTCCGCAGCTATTCTGGGCTGTGATTGGAAGCCACTCTTGGACTGTATGATCATGTTATAATTTGCAAGAAAGCATTCATCATAATTATATGCAGTTTTTTTTATATTTTGCAAATGATTTCATACCTGTGTTGTTCTGTTGACTTAAGCTGGTTGCTGGTTGCTCATTTCTTTCCCCCCAAAGCTTCCCAGCCCTTATAGTGTTGGAGTGGAAAGTTAGAGAGCTCCCTGTCCTTTGCTGAGTTTGTTGTATTTTAAACCATCGACTTCCTACCCTCTGATTAGACAGAGAAGCTGAGGATGGTGAAATATGCCTCCAAGGAACTTCTTGAGACCTTGACCCTCTTTGGCAATCAGTGCTGTTGCTGAAGCTGGTCAGAGATTGGTTCCTGGACTGGTCTGTCTGGACTTGGGGTGCTTCTTTAGCTATTGCATTTGCAGGCCATCAGTGACAATAGCATCCCTGACCTCAGTCAGCAGAGCCTCAGTGAGTTGTAGGAGAGGAAGCTTAAGGGAACCTGTGTGCTGTGTCAAGATGTGCTCAAAAGGAATGCCCTGAACATTACAGTTTTTGATGCATGGTATACCTTGGTAAATTGATTTTTAAAGTGTGAGATTTTAGGCATTCTGTGAGTATGCCTGATATTTTTTGACTCACCAGAGGTACTTAGAAAATAGGAAAATGATTGTCCCTTGATTACAGGTGAGAAAAGCCTTCATGATTCTAGGTGGCTTATGTGAGACTACCTGGCTGGGAAGTGAGGCCTGAGCTGGCAGATGGCAGGTTGATCTGAATGGTATAGTGACTGTTGACTGTGTGTTGAGGGCCCGCCACAGCAGCAGGGAGCAGGAAACCTGTGCTGCTAAATTACTATCTAAGCAAATGCTCTGGGTGAGTCAACTGGAGAAAACAAGAAAGGAGAGAAGATTCTGTCCCTGAAAACAGTCTGTGGAGGGGCTGATGTGATCAGGGGCTCACAGAACTTCAGGGAGAAGGTGGATGGCCATGTATTCTTTTTATTTGTGTGCGTTTATTAGCCTGTTTTAGCCAGTGCATGTAGGAAACATTCACATGGTGCTGAAAGACATACACTTAACAGGGAGGCTGGTGCCTGCTCTACTGCCGATCCCTACAGGACGCCCCAGGTACAGTCAATTGTCGATGTCAGTCATCCTTTGCAAGCATCTGTATGTGTTCCTTCTGTGCATCCACAGCACACCTCTGTTTCCATTCACACATTTTTATATTAGACACAGTGTTTTTAAGACAGGGTTTCATCTTGTGTATGCAGTCTGGAATGGACTTGAACTCACATTTCAATTGCTGGGATGACAGTGCCACCGTGACCACCACATTCATATAAATAAAAAAAATATCTTGAGGGCTGGGGAAATGGGCTATCTGGGTAAAGGCACTTGCCACCAAGCCTGATGACCTGAATTTGATCCTCAGGACTCTCGTGATGGAAGGAGAGGAACAGCTTCCACAAGCTGTCATCTGATTTCTATACATGTGCTATGCTGAGAGCACACGTGCCCAGTCTCTCTCTTACACACACTAAAACAAACAAACAAATTCCTCTCTCTGAGGCTGGCATGGTGACTCATGCTAGTAATTCATAGGCAGAGGTAGGATTGCTACAAGTTTGTGGTCAAGCCACTCTCCATAGCTGGTTCTTCTCTAGCCAGCACTACATAATGAGACCCTGTCTTAACAAACAAACAGCAGTTGGAGAGATGGCTCGGCAGTTAACAGCACATGATACTCTTGCAGAGGACCTAAGTTGGGTTCCCAGTTCTCACACCAGGCAGCTCACAACCGCCTGTAACTCCGGCTCCATGGGAACTGAGGCCCTGGGCTTTCAGAGCTCACTGCACTCACGTGTAGTGGTGGCTGGTGGCCAGGAGGGCTGCTGATGCTCCTTGAATCACAGAGCTGAGGACTCAGTGTGTGCCCTTGACTTTCAACCTGGATCCAGGGTTTTTACCCTTGGAGCCTTGCATTTCTTCATGTGCCTAGCACTGAATCTGGGGATTCTTGGTCAGAGGAGGCTCAGTGCCATATGAAGGGTAAGTGGGGATTTGGTGCCTGGAAGCAAACAATCCCTTTTGAGCACCAGCCTTTATAGGCAGCAGGATGATGGTGATGAGCATGAAGATTATATACAGAAATAATGTTGTGGTTAGAGCTGGGACAGGCAGCCATGTCAGAATATAGTCTGTTGCTCTGTATGTTGGGAATGCCCCAATGGACAGTAGATTCCTGCTCCCCAGTGAAAATGAGTGTGCTGGTGAGGATACTGTTAGTGGTGCTGAATAGGAGGGAGCGTGTGGGAAAACACCTTCCTCTGTGTTGCGGGGCAGGCCCTTAGGCAAGCCTGCACTTGCAAAGCCAAGCTCTCCTCAGCTCAGCAGTCCCTGCACCACCTGCACCCTCTGTGGCCTCCCTGGCTTTTTCCAGGTCGATTTCCTCTTTGGTCCTCCTTGCAGCCCTGGTCATGGGTTGAGGTGTGAGTTGCCACTTTTGTGTGCACGTGGATGACCAAGGCTAGAGACTCTGTGACCATTGCAGTCATCAGGAAGGCAGGCTCGGACGTGAGACCTTTCATACTTATCGTGCCTTCCGAGGAAGAGGAATGGCTAGTGGCACCAGTGCCCTTTAAAAACATGCATTCTTGGAAACTGGCAAGAGGCCACACTCCTGCCCACCTGTCCCATCACCTTTCTCTGTTGTTATTTTGGTAGGACTAGTGAGGATATCCTGCTAGCGAGGATGCTGGACAGAGCTATGGCCTAAGTTTTAAGGGAACAGAGAGGCTGAGGAGATAGCATCTAACATCATTGTAACCAACTGTTTTCTTCACTTTCCCAGGGATGATCGGCTATGGCATGGCCAAGGGCGCCGTCCATCAGCTCTGCCAGAGCCTTGCAGGGAAGAACAGTGGCATGCCACCCGGGTCGGCTGCCATTGCTGTGCTCCCGTAAGTGTGTGGGAGTTCTTATTACTCCTTGCCCACTACTGAGTGTTGACGTTTTTGAGATCTCTTTTTATCAGGGCTTTGAGTGTTTGTCACCAAAGGCCCTTAAGCTCCTAGTGTAGCGTATTCTCTGCTACTGTACAAGATACCCTAGGCTGGGTATTACAAGCCACAGAAGTGTACTGAGTGAGCACGGTTGTGTAGGCCGGAAAGTCCAAGTTGAGGATACCAGCAGGGTTGGTTTCTGGTGAGAACCTGTTCCTAGATAATACCTTCTCTGTTCTCTGAGGGGCTTCCTCAGGCCCTTCTGCAAGCGTCCCAATTTATCTACGGGACCACACCCTGGCCTGATTATCTCTTAAGGACCATACTCTTGTTACACTGCAGGCTAGGTTTCAGCCTAAGAATCTGGGCAGGGAGGCCCATTTAACTCATGGCAGTATTTCGGGGTTTTGATAATCTGTCTTGAGGGATGAAGGGTCTGTCTGTTTTGCCGCTTTTGTATTTTCTTCTCTTCCCCACTCTTTTAAAGCCTACACAGTTTATTTTACATTGTATAGTGCTGTTTTCACATTGCTATACAGTCAGTGTGTCTGAGTACATGTGTGAGTACAGGCATGGGCAGCAGTGTGGGGAGGTTATGTAGGAGATGATGGGAATGCATGGGGACATTTCTAACTCACCAGAAAGCAAATCCCTTGTCAGCTGTCTCAGGCAGAGGCTGCTGCCTTGGACATGACATGTTCTTTCTCAGTGGAAGAATTCTAGTGCCAACTGGCTTCTTCTTGCTTCCTGTCCTATAAATGGTCCCTGGGGCAACCCAGGGACTGGCTTGCTTTCCAGTCCTTCACTTGAGAGGTTTTATGAGGTGTCCCATGGCTGTCCTGACTGATGTCTGAAGGTTTTGTGCCAGTTCTGTATTCTCTTCTTGGAAGGCAGCCACATACTTAAAAATAATATTTTTACAATTTTGATATTTTGAGGAATATTATTTACATAAATCCTTAGAAATGACTCTGCCATACTTCAGAGAGTACATGGGGACTTAATAAGGCAGTTACTTTTGACACAGGCTGTATTTGACATGAAGATAAAATGTGACTCTCCCTATTTTGTTGTCTGCCCCACGTGTGAGTCACAAAGAGCCTTATTGGATTCCTCTCAAATGTGATTTTTGTTACTGTGGACAGCTTGCTGGTCTCTGATTATCTTGTCTGATCTCTCCATGTAAATGTCACGCTCAGTGCCAGAGGCTCCCAGTGGTGATGCTGTGTTTGTCTTTTCATGGTCAAGAACCAGACTCCTGTTATTACAAAGACGATGCACAAATGACACACTTATCTCTACACTGCAGGGTTACCCTGGATACTCCGATGAACAGGAAATCAATGCCAGAGGCAGACTTCAGCTCTTGGACACCCTTAGAGTTCCTGGTTGAGTGAGTATCACAGGAGAGGCAGTGACTAAGCAGCCTCTAATCTTTGTTCCTTGCCATTTGGGGACTCTCAGTGATCCTGGTTGAGGTTCTGGGGCTCTGAGGGCCTGAGGTAGCTGGACTTGGAGAAGAGCAGTTGTGTGGAGGGGTTAATAGCCCTGAGAGGAGTCCTGACTCCTTATCTCTTTCTGATCAAAGTGAGCATATTTGTAAACTGCCCTAGAACACAGATTGTTGCCTGTGTAAGGAGGGTCCATGATGATTGCAGAGAATGAAACATGGTGATGTGTGTTAAGTACTTGGCAGTGTGTCTGACCCATAGCAAATGTTCAGTAACCCCTGTCTCCAGGATACCATTGGTGATGTATCCAGGAGCAACTCTGAGGCAGGAAGATAGGAGGACCTGCCAGTCATATGTCTCAGTCATTGCTGAGCCACAGGTGTATGGTCTTAGTTTACACAATCTTAGTCAACTGTGAGTGAACCTGGAAACAGTTTGAAAGCTCACTGGACAAGGAGGTGGTCTTACTTTTTGGTGTTTCCTTTATCTCAGTTCCTTAAAGCTTTCTTTAGTAAGTCTGGGTTTACTGGGCACCTACCATAGCTAGGTGCTGCCTTCGTATGGGAAACCTAAGTCACTGTTCCTACAGGAGATGGCCTTCCCTATGGTGCCAGGGTCATAGCTGCTTTCATGGCTGCACTGGGTGTTTGCGATTCTGACCTACTGTTAGAACTCATTTAAACTGAATGTAGAGAATTTATATATGTTTGGAACAAGTACCCACATAGTGCTAGTTAGGTGCTAAGCACTATTCTAAACATTTTGTATTATTTGTGTGTGTGCACATACGTGCCTGTGTGCATGCGCACGCCTGCTAATCTTATGGTAGGCTGGGAGTCACGCTTTAACGCTTGATTGAAAAGAGAAGTTGAGAAGACACCTTGCTTTGGCTTCTGATTGCTTTTACATTTCTCTTTAAAGGCCAATATTTCTACAATGCTTGAGTGACATATTAACCTAGAATCTAGACTCTGGACCCAACACTGAGGCTCCTGGGTCTGAATTCATGCCCAGTTACAGACAAAGGCTGCCAGGCACCCTTTGCTTCATCATTCAGTTTACCCACTTGAAACTCACTTGAACAAATTATTTTCTTTATCACCCATGGTATGCATGCCTTCTCTCTCTTCCATTCCACACTGCTGGGGAGGCCTAAGGCAAGACAGACATGTGTGATGAATATAGAAACCTGAAACTTCCAAATGGCATTTCTGACTCTCAGAGACACCCAGCTCAACCCTAGCCCCAGAGATGGGGCCATGACCAGTGAGAGTATTTCAGGATGTTTTAGCAGTGCTTTGGGTTTTGAGTCCATACACTTTTCCTAGCTTGTACAACGTCTAGAGAAGAAGCCTGAGTGTCTGACAGCTGACTATCAAATCTAGTCTACAGGGTTGCACATTGGAATCACAGAGTGTTCCAAGAGCCAAGCACTTTTCCTTTTAGAGGTCTGAAATCCTGGCAGTGGATCTTCAGGTGGATGTTGCTCAAAAGTAAATGTTTCACTGTTAGAAACTGTCATCTGCTTGTTGCTGTTTCTTGCAAAAGTTTTGAGTCTTTTTTTTCTTCCTGATTTTTAAACTTTATAAACAGGGTCTTCCTTCTGTTCCAGGAAGGCTTGGTGTCCTATCTCTACACAGAACTAGTTTTTTTTTTTTTTTTAATCTCAATCTATTTTACTATAACAGCATGCTTTTTATGTTTTGCTTTGGATGCTCCACACACTTTTGCTAAAATTGAAGGATGGGTTTGCATTCTTTTTAAACTCGAGAAGGAATAAAGTATCAGATGGCTTTCCTTATCTGTGTGTTCTCATGTGCTACTTCAGCCAACTTCACATCAAAAACATTGATAGACATGCTTCTATGCTGTGTTGGAGACTTTCCCCTTGTCATTATTCCCTAAAGACAGTACAATTTTAGCAGCTGTTTAGTACGTAGCATGTGTGTTAGATGAGATGCTGTTAATAATATGGAGGTAATTTGGGGAGTATCTGGGAGATTGTGTGTGGGTTACATGTAGATAGCATGCCCTCTTATTTAAAGGGTCTGACTGACCTTTGAGGATGCCAAAGTCCTCAGCAATCTGGGAACCTGTAGGTACTCAGGGTCACGTGTATGGTGCATATGTCTGTCTCTCACAGTTAATCATCTAAAATTTGTTACAGTCATACTACTGTGCTGTGAAACATTTTGACCATTTAGAAAAAGGCAAAGGTGAAAGCTAAGATTACATTAATTCCGAGTCAGGCACTGAGCTTAGGGGACCTGTCTATGTGTCCCTGAATCCTTAGTGGCTTTCTCATAGCTCCTCCTAGAAACCACCCTTCACACCCAAGGCCACTAGTATGAATATTAGCATATGCCCAGAGTTTGCTCTAAGAATGTAAAATATCTCTTCTTATTCTAGAACCTTCCATGACTGGATCACTGGGAACAAACGGCCAAACTCAGGAAGCCTAATCCAGGTGGTAACTACAGAAGGGAAGACAGAGCTTACGCCAGCATATTTTTAAGCCTCGTCTCAGTGCCTGGGAGGGCCCTCCTGAAACATCACTAATGTGTTTGTGTCATCACAACTGGCCCCATGTTTTCTGTATTCTGTTTGTGGTACTGATAACCAGTCCCATTTGTCTCTTACATAGCGTTTCCTATGCTGTTCAAGGATGGCGTGGTGTCTATGGAAAATGAGCAGAGGCCCGTAGGTCGCACTGTTAGTGCTGAGGGCCCAGGAAGGTGTGTGGGCAGGATGCATCATGGCATCCTGGATTGCTTTGGAGACCCCTCTGATAGTCCTCTTATTTTTTGCCATTTGGGGCACTTTGAAGTCCAACTTGTTTTTTAATTCCATGTTGGTACCACGTAGTTTTTGTGGCCTGAAGTTGAACTGCCTTGAAAATTCTTTTGTGATATAGGCAAAACCCAGTGGACTCTGTCATGGCATCCTTTTGTGTCCCAGCCTAGGCTAAGTGTGAGGAGAACCACTTGTGAGTGTTTGTCGTGTTTTCCCTAATAAACACACTTCATGTCTTGTGTTGTCTTTTTCTTTCAAGTCCCGACTTACACACAGTGGTCCTAGGTGACCGGAAGCATAAGGTACGGAGTCTTCTCTCCCAGTGTCTTAAAAGAGGGTAGAGTCGATCTGAGATGAGTGTTTTCCACATGGCAACACTGGCTCCAGCCTGTCATTTGCACATGACTTAAGGGTGGGATGGCTTCATGAGATCAGACCCTCTGGTTAAGGACTTAGGATGTAATCCAGTCTGATTAATACACAGATGGGGAAACTGAGGCCCAGATAGATGATTAGCATCATCATTGCCAGGAGGACTTGCATAAGCTCGGAATTCCATCACCAGAGGGTCAGCAATTATTAAGGCTTTTAGTTTGCTTTCTCTTTTCGTGAAATGAGATCCTACCAGCCATTTTAAGGCAAGGGCTTCAGCATTTAGGATACAACTCTGGTGTACAGCCATCACCTCTAGTTCCAAAGAATTTTCATTGGCAAGGTCAAATCCAGGGCTCTTAAGCAGTTCTCAATGTCCCACTCTCTCTGGCTCTTGGTCAGCACCTGTCTTCATTTAGTTCAGTGGATCATTCTGCCTTGGGTATTCATAAAGAGGCAGTCATAACATCTGACATTTTCACATAGCATGGTCTCCTTACTCTCCCTTTCTAAACCATGTATGAGTACAGTTCTGATGATGGGTGAATAATACTCGTATCAAAAGATATTTTTTCCATCCAATTTACAAGTGGACACACATTTGGTCTCTCTTCCAGCTGATTTGACTAATGCCATAAACGTTCATATACAAGTATTTGTACTCTGTCATTGGTCAGTATAGGCAAAAAGGGGTGACTAGAACAGAGAGGAAATAAGCTGGTAACTGGCACTGAAGGTATGCAGAGAAGACCAAGGATTGAGTTTGCTAAAATAGAGGGAGGAGCTGGAAAGATGGTTCAGTGTTAAGAACACTGGCTGCTCTTTTAGAGGACCTAGGTTTGATTTCTAGACCTATACTGGTGCCTCCCAACCATCTGTAACTCCAGTTCTAGAGCATCTGATGCCTCCTGTGGATACCAGGTACACGTGGTGCAGACATACGTGCCGACAAGACACCCATTCACATAAAAGTGAACTTAAGAAAAAATATATATAAACTATATTACTCCATCTTGTGCTACTGCAATGGAAATTCTGGAGGCTGGATGGGCAACTATAAAGAAAAGGGGAGCAACAGAACCAAAAAAATCTGGGCGCAGGGGTCTTTTCTGAGACTGATACTTCAACCAAGGAGCATTCATGGAGATAACCTAGAACCCCTGCATAGATGTAGCCACTGGCAGCTCAGCCTCTAAGTGGGTTCTCTAGTAAGGGGAACAGGAGCTGTCTCTGACATGAACACAGTGGTTGGCTCTTTGATCACCTCCCCCTGATGGGGAGCACCCTTACCAGACCACAGAGGAGGACAATGCAGTCAGTCCTCATGAGACCTGATAGGCTAGGGTCAGATGGAAGGGGAGGAGGTCCTCCCTATCTGTAGACTGGGAGAGGGGCATGGGAAGAGAAGAGAAAGGGAAGGTGGGATTGGGAAGAGACGAGGAAGGGGGCAACAGCTGAGCTATAAAGTGAAAAAAATTGTAATTAATAAAAAATTAATTATAAAAGAGGTTCAAGGGCCTTCATATGATGAGGGGTTAAGATTTAGCGTATCAACAGTTAGGAGGCACAAATCATATCCAAAATATAGCAGACACTGATGGTGACCTGTCAGGAAGGCAAGAGAAGAAAGGACAAAGGTTGCAGTGTGCTGGGGCTAAAGAGCAAGTGCCAAGAAGAGGAGCATAGTGATGTTAATTACCACTGAGGAGAGAAAAGAAAGCTGCAAACTAGCTATTGGTTGCTGATGTAGCCACTGGCATTGTGATCCTGAGGGAAAGCTTTGGTACAAAAGCAGGTATGAGAAGGTGAGTGAGCCTTAATATAGGTGGAGAGGAATATGGTATACAGACATCTTTAACTCCCACTGGGTGGAGTCTGTGAACCTAGTCCTTGACTCTAATCTAGATGAGCCTACCAGGCTTTGGCTCTGCTTTGTTCCCACAAATAGGCTGTGCTGCTAACGTTTGATACATGGATTTTGAATTACAGGTTAGTGAACTCCCAGGTTACCTCAATCTGTCTGGAGTGTGTCCCCCTAGGCTCTCATTTCAACCAGAATGGGTTTTGTTGGCTGGGAGGTCAGCTTGCATGTTCCCCGAAGCCCAGCTTGTTCAAAGCTTCTGGGATTGGTCAGAGCTGCCCAGCATGGCTGCAGAGCTCTAAGGAGGAGCCTGCTGTGGTATGTTCCAGTAAGCAGTTGAGACTTTCCTTCTGCTTTGAGCTTGAGTCTAACTCACTCACAGAAGTAGGATAGAGAAAAAGGGAGTCTAAGGAAGGTGACCTGCATTGGGACTCAGTTCTTCCACTTATTTCTGTACAACCCTGAGAGTCTGCATTTATCTCTCAAGTCTCAATCATAGGATGAGGTCATAATGATCTCCAAGGATGAAACGAATGCAGGCTAAGTGTCAGAAAGTGTTGCTAAAGCCCATGCATGCAACAGTGTGCGTCGACAGCTCATTTTCTTTTTATTTGTGTGTGTGTTGAGCTGGCATGTGAGCTTGTGTGTGCACATACGGAAGCCAGAGTGCAACCTCAGGTATTATTCTACCATCTTCATTGTTTTTAGAGACAAGGTCTTTCACTGGGACCCAGCTGGCAAGTGAGGCCCCGGACCCACCTGTCTCCACCTCCCAGCACTGGGATTGCAAATGTGCACTGTTGTGTAAGTACAGGGGGTTGAACTCAGGTTCACTTTGTTGACTGACTGCTTTCTCACCAGTCTTTGCATTTTCATTAATGTTTTCAATTAGCATACAAAATAATCCATTGTATGGTACTTTCGTACATGTATGTTGTTGTTCCTTGCTCATATCTCTCACTACTCTCCCTGCTTCATCACAACTGGGACTTTCCCCCTCAAACAGTACCCTTCTATTTTCATGTTTTATGCATGTATCTGTTTTTTACATGGAATGTATACACACAGACATTCATATATACATCAACCTATATCCTGCATAGGAGAGAAAATTTAACCTTAACCTCTTATCCCCCCTTCTTAGATCCCTTTCTCCTTTATAGTATCCCTCTAGTTTGATATGACATATATATTTATTTGTGCTTATATTTATTTTCCCACATGGAAGAAAATATTTATTCTTTTCGTCTGTTTTATTATTTCCTTCCCTAACCTTTATTATTCCCTTCCATATACTACTTTGAATTTGGTTTATTTTTGTTTCTCTAAAACCATGAGGTACATCATTAGTTATTTATTCTTATTTTTAATGTAGCCATAGCTATACATTTTCCTTTTAGAACTACCTTTGCTGTCAGTCCTTCATTTTTATTTCTAAATAGTTTCTTATATGGATATATCACATCTTCGTATCAGCTCGATGTTTGAGTTCCTTTAGCCTTTTGGCCATTGTGAAGTGTGCTGCTATGAATATACATGTGCAAATTTATTTGCATGTTTTCATTTTTTTGGCGTATGTGCCAATGAATACAATTTCTGAATATGATATGGCTAAGACTGTGCTTGTTTTTGCAGTTGCCACACTGTTTTCCAAACCAGCTCCACCATTTAACTTTTCTGTTGGAAATGCACAATGGTTCCAGTTGTTTCAAACACCAGACTTACCGTGCTATAGTACGTCGTTGTGGTCACAGTCATTCTACTGGATGTCATGTGTTCTCTCACTGTGGTTTTGACTTGTATGTCCCATGTACTTGGTGGCCATTTGTATATGTTCTTTGGTGAGATGTCTGTTTAGCTCCTTCGCCCATCTTTAATTGTGTTACTTCTTATTGCGTAATTGTAAGGAGCTGTGGTGGAACAGTGAGGAAGAAGGGAGATGAGGTGCTCTGCTCCAGGTACATCTCAAGGCAGTGGCTCCTGCTGTGGTGGCATCTCTGTAGCCCAGCCCCTACTAGCCAGTGCCTTCCCCTGGAGCAGCTCACGCTGGTCACATCTACTCTTCCTTCTGACTCTCCGCCAGGAGGTGGTGGGAGCTCCTGACCAAGGCTGAGTGTGTTTACCCATCTCATTTGGATTCTGGAATTTTCATTACTAATATGATCCACTCATATTGAATTCCCTCTGCTGGCATGTGTCCAGCCTGGCCAATGAGACAGGAATGTTAATATCCACATCTGGGGCCTCTGGGTTATTATCTGGGTAGGCGGTTATGAGCAGAAACTTGATGATTTTCTTGAATATTTTTAGCATTCATCTGTGGGGGCTAAGGGCGCTCCTGAGTTAAACAGGTCTCTTTCCTAAGTTTCTCAAGAAACCACAGTCTTTGCTTTAATTTCTTCAGGTTTCTGGATGTATTGTTTATTTCTAGGAGAATTTTATACTATTTTTTTCCAAATTATTTTTTTATCCCTGACTGAATAATATGGGCTGTGAATATGAATAAAAGAAAAGCTAGAATGTTCTGTCTAATCATTTACATCAGAACTATGCACTGGAACAAGGGAGCACTAGTGAGAGCTGCGAGGTTGGAGTGATTTTTTGGTGTGGGAAAGAAGGCCTTTTAACAGAACTTCTTTGGGTAGTAATTCAGTGGTCTTCATCAGTACTCTAAAAACTATGTCATCTGAGCTATAGTTCCACTAAATGCTGGGTTAGTTCCATCAGGCACTAAGACAGAAACTGGTAACAAATGTATGCTATGCTGTGAATTACTGAAGTCTTGGAAACAACCCCAAAGACCCACAGTCAAATGCTGTTAAATAATCACCACATCAGCATTTCTCTAACATTTCCCTGTTGTAGGATCTACTTCATGAGCATTCACTAATCCTCACAGCTCCAGGGAGGGAACTTCTGCTCCTCTGCCCATCTTGCTGAGGAGAGTAAGGTATAGAGAAGTGCTGGCCCAACGTCACACAGCCATGAAGTAGCAAAAGCCAGC